GTCTTGAGGTGGATAATAAATAAATGAATAATTAATCCAGTATTAACAAGATTGTATAATAGTGTATAATCAAACGTTATGTAAGCTCATAAATTTACAGTTTATTAAAAACACCTGATAGGTATTACGTTGATCCATACACAACCCCATTTTTTGTATATTCCCATTTTTGTATATAGCCCATTTGAAGCCGTTACAGAAGCTATCAAACAGAAGGGCGTCGACGAACGAGGCAAGATCATCTTTGTCTACAGGAATTCCAGGCCTTAAATAACAAGTATTATAAAAGCTGTTCTATCAAAATTCGAGTGGATTGTTTTACGCTCAATATATTCTACAGACCTCGCGCCTACCGATTACCACGATTGCCAATCGCTCGCAAATAGATCAGTAACCGTGCGTTTAAGACACGAGAAAGTCTCGGACGAATTCGTCCACATCAGGCGTAAGAATTTGTGATAAAAAGAAAATTAATAAATTAATTCCAAACTAAGACAGCGTTGTGGAAAGTGGTAACCAATACATAAATAAGACATCATACATTAATTCGCTGCTAGAATTCGGGTTGAGAAAAGGTTGAAAATGGTCCTGACGTATGTACCGATCTTAGAATTAATATTATGATGAAATTTAGACAAGTGCATACAGAATCTCGCTGTCGAAGCGATCAGGTCGCCGTAGCTTCATATATTTACTATTACACTTTAATAGTAATTTTAAATTCCTAGGCCTTTTTACGTCCCTTTTATAATTTTGAAATCTGTTATTGTGATACTTATAACGTGAAAATAAGCGATATTAATATCAATTAACAGTAAAACTTATCAACATTACAAAGCACTGACTTCAATAATAAACTGCGCAGCCAGCTAAATAAAAGCTATATTTTGAGTAGCGAAGTGTGATGCCGAATTGGTTTTGGGTAAGTATCCGAACCGTCTACAGTTCCTAAAGTTACCACGGAAAAACGTCGAAATCGAAATAGATTCTGCTGAGATCTTAGAATCTCTATCTTGAAATATATTAGGCGCGTCCAGTAGGTCTCCAAATACGGATTACCATGTGCGGGTAGGCACGATTATTATGAACAACTCAACATTTTACATGCAAGATACTCCAACTAGTGTTCAGTAGCCTGTAAGCGTTGTTATAGCAATGATAAGATGGGTCCCGTGAAGTCAATGCATTTCAAATATACCTGGTGGTCATATGTCCACAGGCAAGCCGCTAGCTACCACGAATATTTAACTGATATTGGCTGGTGGTGAACCCAAGAAAGCAGTTTAATACATTTTACTTTGGAGATGCGTGCAGTGTACTCATGAAAATTAACGGCTGTGCTCGAACGGGTAGAAGAAAAGCAAACTAATGATCTTACTTTTAGGCACTTCGATAAAAAGAATACTACTGGGTTGTGCTTTTCTATTTTCAAGAAAAGCCCTCAAAGCGTGATTATGAATCAATATCTGTGTTTTTCGTAGTCAGTGCAAAAGGTTGAAAATGTTTCTATTCATTTATATATTCTTCTCTGTCTCACTACTAATAATCCGCTGATCACACACGTAGCTGTATATGAGATATAAGTTGTACTCGGTGACATGGAAGCGTACACAAGCAGACGTTGCCAATAGGTGAATGACGAGAACAGATTCCGGAACAACTAAAACTATTCTACATTGTTCATGCGATTATGCATAATTAGTATTATCAAGTCACTATGACCACCTTCTAAAAGAACCTAACCTTTTCTCGCCACCTTTGCCCTATCTCTTCTTAATTGTACATTACCTTTTAAGTCATCCTAAAACTTCAAACGTGTCACTTTGTTATACAACTTCTTAATTTTCTTCACGTTATCGCTTGCAAGTATAAAAAGTGCCGACGAGTGGAGTATACAGAAAGGCAGTGACGTACACAAGTTCCAATGTAGACAAACAGTGGTGAGTTTGCTCATATAAGATATGCCATAAGATACAAAAAACGCTGGGACACTAAGTAATCCGATGAGACACTAATTTCCTACTTTGAAATATAGGAATTACGGCCGTGTACAGATAACAAGAGGTGTCTCTAGCCCTAACTTGTCGGAAATAATCGTTACGTTTCGGCTCATAAAAAGAGACTCAAAAACGTCAAACTAGGAACTTGCAGGCCGCATCTTTTGTTAGGCAGTGTTATACGCTAAAGAAGAAAAAGCGTTCGAACACTTTGCATTGCATCTCTAACTGAAGTAATGTGCGAAGCCGCAAGAACCGTGCTCAATAGTCGATACACCATAACTTTTATCTAGACGTCCTCACCTCTAGCTGTTATCACGACAATCGTTATGTTCACAAAATAGAATAAGAATGAAACTCATGAAATTCTAGAAAATTGTGAAAGGTTGTCTAAAATCACACTACCTGTTCCATCTGCTGTTTTTGTTATTTTCTTTAGAAAAACCAGCAAGACAAACACCAGTAACGATGATTTTGTTGCATTAACTATTCGTGAAAAATTCCGCCCTAGGTAAGGAGAGCTTCCAAATTTTCCGTTTTCCAAATACCGGTCAGCTAAAAAAATGTATTGAACATAAACATCGCTAACTAATTCTCGCTAAAGGGGTATTGATACGATAAATCCAAGGGTCTCTCTATGCCGAACTTTACGTCCGATATCGCCGTTAAGCATTTCATTAGACGCCTGGCTCCCAGCACGAAGTGAAGTCTTTCTATGCTCCGGTCCAGACCACAACGTGTTACTAAGATCGGCAGGCAAATACGTTACCTGCGCTATCAGGGGACAATTTGAAGAGGCTACAATACAGCTAGCATTCCTAAACGTTTTTGTCATTAGAGGCTCAATAGGAATCTTTTTTCCCCTATATGTCTTTCTTACAGGCCAGATCTTTAATTAATTAATACTACAGGCTGTTTGAAGGCACTAGTGCCTGCCGGATTCTTCGCTCATCGTCCAGTCAGCCTTACCGTAAATAGCCTTTTTTACCATTAGGAGTTCTTACACCAACCTAGTAGCTCTACCCCAGCCAGTTATCTTGTCATGAGGCGATGTGGTCTGGTTGGCAAATGTGTTTCTCTTTGAATGCGTTGTGATGGTGCCCATAACTAACAATGGTGGAACCACGGTGGTCCACATTTTAGCGGTGACGAAAATGTTTATCAATATTCAGAAATAAAAAAAATGAAGGGGAGAAAAGGAATTGGCGAAGATACGGTATCATTTTCAAGGTTAGTAACTGCTTATATGGTTGCCGTGCCGTTTCTTAGGTCCCAGATAAGTCCAGCAAAAAATACTGCAGTTAGGCTCTTGATAGGGGCAGGTCCTTAATACTATACCTAAAATGGTGATTCTGTTTGGCATAAGCTAAAGCTAGTAGTGTTGCAAAGCGTCATACCATCATCCAAAGAATCCCTTATACATTACAATGATTAGGTGAACTGAGCCGCTAGAGTTGTAACAACTTTTGTCTTTGACTGGTTCATTCGTGCATTCTTGGCATTTAAGACAACAAAAGACTGTTATTTACCCACCACTGGGTGCGAAATTCAGCCGATAGGGATGCGCCCAAGTGAGGGAATATGTGCCTGTGCTGTTACGCTGCGTCAAACTTCTACAATTGCATATCTAAACCCAGTTGTTCCCGTGGCGTGGAATAGAGAAAGCGTGGGTGTGTTCCGTAGTCCTGGGGTAGAGTCTAAAGCTAAAGCACCTCCTCCTTAGTTGTGCTCCAATGATGATTAATTTCATTTGCCTAGACGTATTGATCTTGGGATGCACTCCATATGTGACAACGGATTATAAAAGACCTTTTGATACTTTTTAAGTAGTCCTTCCTAGGATAATCCCATCATCTCTGCTCGAAAAGGTTTTTATCCTATGATTTTGACATTATGTATGATAGGGCAGACGTTCTTCTAGATGTTCTTAAACAACAACAGGTCAGCAGAAGAGAAGTTGTTTAGCTGCTTATAATAATAGCAAGGTTATATTCCTTGTAAACTCTTTCCCTAACTTTCGGTCTCTTATTGATCCTGACCGATTTTTTTTTTACTTCGTTCGCGACTACTCTCATCGGTCTAAGGATGTGATACTATCTTCCTTATTAGTGACGGAGCGTGTATCGTGGTCGCCTATAAGGGAGCAATCTGAATTCGAGAGCTACCTGCACCAGAAATGCATCCTTTCCTGGAGTAGCTGAACTTGAAAGACAAAAAGCAGTGAGAACTCTTTTAGGTACTTAAGAGTCTTTTCCAATTTCTTAGATAATTCTTTAAATCGTTCTGCCAGCCCGCCCCGTAAAGTTCATTTAACTGTTTTTTTGCCGTCTTTGGCTAGTTGCAAGGGGCAGCTTTGAATCATGTTACCAACTAATTGACTGTGTCTGAGAATTTCTATGGGTAAAAACTTCTCGAATAACGTTAGAAGCTTATCTATCAAATCGCTTTTATCAGTTACTTCGAAAATGCTATCATTTCCCCTATTGTATCGATGTCAGTTTCCTCGAGAGTTAAAATTGACTAGATGAATTTCCGATCTTTCTCGCCACGGACTTCAAAGGCGGGTACGCGTGCTCGTAAATGCGTCTTGTCGTTTTAACCAGTCGTGTGCACTCCCGGACTTCATTCCTGATGTTATTGGGACAAATCTGAATTCCAATGTGGACATTTTCATGAATGTACTTCCTAACTAGATGTGTTTCATCTGAGAGAATATGTAGTTGCCCGGTCAGCGTTATCATACAGTTCACTTGGAGCTCTATTTTTGCTTCTATTGGACTAGCCCATTCACTTCTGGTTTATGTCCGAGGTGTTTTGTGTCCTAATTCATGTAGCACGCCTGATATCTAGTAGTACCATTTATAATTATTGTTATAGGATTCTACTAGGGGGTCCATCATTCCTGTCATATTTTAAGTCTCTCACTTATACATATTTAAGTAATAGAACTTGTAAGTAAAAAATGACGATCCATCTTGATTATGAAGTGATAAGGAAAACATCGACGATATTTTATGGCCCTTTATTACTGACCTCAGCATATTCTTTACACACGGATCACAAGAGCCTCCTTTTCGTGTTACTGGACCAATGTTACTGGTACAGCCAGTCTGTTTCTTCAAGAAGGGCTCGATATGAGCCCGTTTACATTTTCTGGAACTGCTTCTTTGTTCCGGGCGCTTTTGTTACTTTGAGAACGTTGAAGCGCACTGTTTTTGAGAGGGGACGGCACTCTCCGACAGTGACAACGTCGCCCAAGGAAACGTCACGGAAGCAGGGCGAGAGGTGCACAGACATGTTACGATGCCGACGCTCGAACCTGTAATTTAGATAAACAAATAACGGAACCATTAATCAACTACAGATGTACCATCTTGGCAGAATTAATTCGTATTTATTCGTTCACATAACAATTTGCGAGGCATCGTTTTCTATTATGCAGTATGTTCATTGATATTTTCATCGATCACTATGAGTCCAAATAAAGTTGTTCCTTATGAACATCAAGCCAATGCCTATGAACATTATAGTTATAGCTATACCATCTCAAAGACGCAGACTATAACATAGCGATGCCTTTACGAAATACTCCGTATTTGGAAACAAGACCGAACTCATACTTTGCCAAGAATAAAGCCCCTAGACGAATGGGCTAGCAATACTATCGCTTGTCCACTTTCGAACCAAAGAGTTGAGAACGCTGTCAGCGTTTTTTGATTTTTAAGAGATTCGCAGGATTTGTTTGCCTTAAAATGTGATTGTAGTTCGGCTACCATCGATTTACCCACATAGCCCCTTTGACGACAAACAACTCGGTTTGCGAAGGCTATCATAGGATGTATTGCCAATTGTAAAGTCTTAACTTTCCGTTTTGCAAAAGATAATATACCACTGGGCTTTATTCCTCATTATTATACTCACTAATACTTTTACTTAGCATAACCTCAGCTTCAGAAGGGACTGGTAAAAAAAATCAAGCAAGGTTGTCTGTTCTTAATATATTTACCTGTTATATTTACGGACGTAGTGCAGATAGTCTCTGCGGATAACGATTGTCCGTTGCATTTTCATCTTGATAACAGTTCCTTTAAGGATACGGCCACGAATGTTGACATTGCCAGTAAAGGGGCACTTTTTATCGATGTAGGTACCTTTCAATGCTTCAACTGGGGTCTTAAAGCCCAACCCTACGTTCTTCGAGTACCTTTAAGGCAAAACAGTCGCTTTAATTAATCAGTATGATGTATGTGCATATATAACTAGACAATATTTTAAGATAACAATCACACAAATCATAGTAGAAATGAAAATTTTATACAAGTTTAGTTTTAACAACTGTTATATGCTACCTTCCTTTAGTGACAAACATGCGTATACATACGATTTCGACCTAGCGCTTAGGCACCTCTCCAGTGTTTAAACCAGTGACGCACGTATGTTGTAGCAGAACAAAGAACTATGAAGCAAACTCCGAGAAAACTGCAAATCTTCTACTATAACATAGCTTTCGAAATCACGTACGTTCAGTAATCGAGCGACGTACAGAAAAAACTAAAAGCGACTTACTCAATTGTCAACATACGACTAAATGTTTGTTTAAAATACAAACCTAACATGGCGAACGGTGATGGGCTTACGCGCGGACGTAGCCTTACGATTAAGAAAAACTGTTTCCTGCTTCTGATACGCTCTCTCGTTCTGCACATCCGCCATAGTGGATTTTTACGCTAAAAAACAGCATGAACAACAACACACTTCTTGTAGTAACATATACAACCAACTGAAAAACACATTACATTGTAACAAATAAAAACCACACTGACATTTAATCAAAAAAAGTTTATTGAGCTCCGATTTAAATCTAAGTGCGAAGCCCGTCACTGTAAATTACAAATACACCTTTTTTAGTTAATGCTATGAACTTGGTTTGAAAAAAATGATTATGCTCGGTGTCAAACAAGAAGAAGAGCGCACGGGAACAACTACTGTCTGGTGGTACAATAAACTACGTATGAAAATATTAAGCCGTGAAGTCAAATTCCAACAATCCAATGTGTCGAGTTTTCGGCATAGATACCATAGGTACCGTTGACTGATACGATTTTTATCACAGAGCTAATAATTGGCCTGAATATTGTATTAAGATTGTTAATAAATGAGCTTATATAGAGGAATGCCAAATCAATCCAAACATGCCGGGCATTGTCCAGCACAGCGCTTAGAACACCAGGTTCATCATTAGATTGGCCTAGATTATGCACGTATCTTCAACTCAGTGGCACTATTACGATTTTTGATTCTGCCCAGAACTTCATTGGAACAAAGCCACACTCAAAAATCACACAAAAAAAACTCACTTTCTTACAATCCACGTGGAAACCTACCAGCACTTCTCTGTGTACACGGGAAAAGACCGGAACATGCGCAGGCCTACACCCCGAGGCGGTTTTTCGAAAATGAGCATAACCATATATTAATATTTGTTTCAAAAGACAACGCCCGAACGAAGCACTATAACCTGTAAAATTAAACCTTAACAGGTGAAACAAATGTGACAGAGAAAAGCATAGATCTACCTTATAGACAGGAATAACTGAAAATATAAATCTTGAAAGGAAGTGATCTAAGGATGACAATTTCGAGGAAAACAATCATGATCGTTGCCGAAACCCGGGAAATTTCAAATGAACAAAACCGATGTTTTGTTCACCCACACACAAAAGCGTTCACCCGCCAATTCGGGCTGTTGAGCTTAGCGTTATATTTAGAAAGTATGCCTTGCTATACGTTTTAATGTAGGAACTGTAAATAGGTTCTTTTGCAAAGTAAAAGTATCAGGTTAGAATGCATATGTCATAACTATGATCAATTGTTGTTGCTTGTTGAATTCAGCGAAGAAACCATATTACTTGAAACTTTCGGCGAAAAAGAAATACACAATTAATCGTAATCGATGCTTTTCAGCAATCATATTTGGAAGTAAAATGTTGACCTCATTTATTGTTTTTCGATAAAAGAACATCGACAATAAGTACATCTGTATTTATCTAAGGATAGACACAAATATCAAAAATTGTTAGGTGAATTAATCTTTAAAATTTGTATTAGTTTTATGTAAGTGTAATCGTATGTTTTATTTACTTCTCGCTGCAACTACCCTTTATCAATTACAATTAATAACTCAACTTAATTAACCTAACTGACAATCAACTGTGATGTCTACAACATAGATAAATCGTAAAAGAAAAGAAATTAGTTGAAAACTTATATTTAGATTAACATATATCGATCTTTAGCTAGTTGTGCATGTCTTTTTGCCTAATTGTATATTTACAGGGCAATCTCCAGATGACAGAGGATCACATCAGCAGGTCGAATTAATAATGTTATTTTTTCGGAGATAGCATTGACACTTTAGCAGATCTATTTTCTGAGTAACGTAAGTTGAATTTGGTAATGTATTTTTTACTATATTTGTTGGCGTGGACAATGCAATATGCATAAATTTAGTAAAACTGTGTTACAAGAACTGGGCTAAAAACAGATATCTAAGAGGTCTAGTGGAGCTTGAAGCGGTACAGAGACCGGTTTCATAAGCTGATTTATCATAGCTCGAATCTGCATATCTGTGTGAAGGTTTTGTCGAATGGATGGGTAAACAAAACTGCAGCTAATGACGCTAGGGCCACATATGGAAACCGCATCGCTACGGGCTCATGACTTCTGATAATAGTGTCCAAAGGATACCAGAGCCAAAAAGCTACGATGCATTCAAAGCTGAGGATTGAATAGAAAAGGCTTTTTTTTTAATTAAGAAACTTAGAAAACATAAATAATGTTAATAAATAAACAGTGATACCATTGAAATATAAAAAAATCAGGGTGTCTATTTTTTAAAAATGCAGCATCAACACTTCACTGTTAGTTAATCAAACAAATTCTTATTCAAACGTAAAATTATGCACTATATAATTATGAATAAGGAAAATTATATAACTAAATACGTGTCTATGGCAGATCTGTCAGTCTATATATTGACCTACACTGATGCTAGCTGCAGTGCAAGTGTTTCTTTGAGTGAACCTATCTCTCTTAATGATCGTATCCTTCCTCCATAGATGCAGTTTTCTTTCATTTGTGAGCCAACAACTGAAGTACTGCCGTTCGATAAAAATAGCTTCGTTTTGCTGAAGATTCTCTTCTCAAACCAGTATCGTTGCGTATTTTTCATTATAGATAAAACGCATGGTATATGATAGATTAATAAATAAGAAAATACAGAATTTCGATAAGACAAAGCGTAATTAGGGTTCCTTAGTTGATATAATAAATAATATGTTCACTTTAGTTACCGAATTGGCTACAAATCAAGACAGGACGAACATTTATTCAAGCCAAAAATTAAGCAGATATAGATTCCGTACAAAACATTTGTTAATCTCGGGGTGTGTTCATGCCTCCCCGTAGCTAGCTTGTATATTATATAAAATTATATAAAGCTTGGGGGTATTATATAAGATAACCAGGGTAGGATAAAATGTTACATACACTGACAATAATATGACGATACGCTAATCCCCCAGAAGGATAATAAAATGTTTGTCTACTAAAACTAAAGACACGTGGGGTGCTATAAGTTCAAAATACTTTTCGCGCTGGGAACCAACTCTGGAAAGAGCAATTCCTAACAGCAGCAATGAACGACAATTTGAAGTATGTAGTCATAAGCTAATCTCATAGTTTTTTTCAACCTCGGATATGCAGTGCAATAAAAGCATGAGAACCAAATCATACGCGTTTTTATGTAGAATGGTAAAATCCAATTGCTATAATGATATATATATATATATATACATTTTTGAACAAACGAAATGGACTAAAAGTAGGACGAAATTTATGCTCTCTATTTAGTTTCGATGACTAGCATGCTATGTGCTAAGGATGCCTAACGTTAATAAATAACTTAGCTTAAACATTTTCTTCAAATATAACACATTCCTTTGTGAGGTAAGATAGAAAAAATCATGGACTATACGTACGAGATCTACGCTGGTAGCTATGATAACATATATTTATTTGTTTAGCTAATAGTTTGCACTCTGATTGTACCTATGTACAGATTCTAGTCGTTGCACTATTACAACAAAAGTTTATCCATATTATAAAAAGAGTAGTCCTACGGATAATTAACTTACCATATTCAATCTGTGAGTACATGCTAGCTGTTAAGTTATTGACTACTTTTAGTGTACAAATATACTCTGCTGAATGCAAATCAGTGTTAGATCTTCAGAAAAAATGGCAATTAAAGACCTAGGTAGACTCTAGATATAGCCATATCAGGACCAACCGGGTGCACCAAAAAGAGCGGGCAATTTTGCTCTCCCATCGAGTATCACTTCTCGGTAATGCCACAAGTGACAAATTAGCTTTGATGTCGTGAAACCGATAGCAGTTTCATTGCAAAGGGTGCTTGTCGTCACACTTTATTTGCACGTTTTGTAAAAAGTCGATTACAATAGATATGCCGTTTGTTTTCCCGATTCGCGAAAATTCCAAAGAAATTAATTTTTCAAAAAATGGCATGAAGATTCTTTCGGAGCCAATATAGACCGTAGAAAAAGTAGCTCTACCTGTGAGCACACGTCCACACTGTTAAATGGTGTGTTCAGCCCCCGAACCGCTATCAGGGCTCTCGTGGGCGCTCTATACGAAGAATCCGCTTTCTCCAAGTCTCATAAAGTAATATATACCTGATATGCTACTTAGGACTTTTTTGGACAACCGTTTTATTCAGATATTAATTGTTAAATATCCTAGATTATTAGGTGACCATTGTATCGGATCACATTGGAGCTCTTGGAAACTTTAATACGAAACCAGTTTGCATGATGCCTATCATATCTGCATATGTTATCGCAGATATTTGCGATTGTATCACAAGTGGGCTATCGGCGAGAACAAAAAGTTGTTTTCCAAAAAGTTCCTTTCAGAAGTTTACATTTATTGTGTTGAATCTATTACGTAACACAATTTCTATCGGTAGACAGAAACCATTAGAAATTACTTCAGTAGGTAAAACTATAAAATACTGTCAGCTAGGCTTATGATCAAAGGTCAAAATAGGATGTTTATCACCGTATTGTGACCTTTAAACATATATTTGTTGTTGAAGCTATTTCTTGAATATATAGCAAATTATAGTTAAAAAATTTTATATTTTTTATATGTCTATTTTTGTATAAGTTTTTTTGTAGTTAGCTTTCATATTTGGTATTCTATGTTCGATCAAGGTTACTTGATATTTTCATTGACTTTGTGTGTGGACCAAACCGTTTACTTCTTTCGATTACATCCGGTAAAGCAATAGACAATAGGAAATAACTATAATAATAATAATAATAACAATAGGAAACTTGAAAGGGTCCGCAAAATTTCCAAATTGCATTAAGATAAGAGGACAGATCTTAAAAAACAATGAACTGCTCTATGACTTTAATGCTTTTTTACAACCGATTATACAATTTACGGTAGCTGCTTCCTTCTCCAAAATCTGCTGAGCAATGCAAAAAATGTCTGAGAGACTTTGGATATGTAAAGTTGTACCGAAGTATTTACAATATAAGAGCTGCAAAATCTCTAAAGATCTGGTACCGATGAAACGAAATGTGACAAACACCTTGTCCGTTGTCGAATTCCTGTTAATCCCGCAGGCCGTGACGATAATGAGGTCACAAACGAGGCAGCTGGCAGCCATATACAGTAAAAAATACAATAATCTGCTCTAAACCATGCATGCTGGGCTCATGTAATTACAGAAATCAACTAATTGTTTCTCTTTGTCCTGATGGATATTCTGCTAACTGTATGACGCATCCTACTGCTCTTACGTTTTGACGTTATCTGAGGCGATGGTTGGTTAGATTGTCGAGGCGAAACAGACGAAGACAGTCATTCGGAAAATAAGTATGTGAGCCTATTTAGTACTATGCTGATTTTGTGTTTTTGGGCGTATCGAGCATTAAAGTGTATGCAGTGCGATTATGGAAAATGCAATTTCAGCCTTAGGACAGACATCACAGGCCGTGTTTGTCCATCGCACGCTTTAGAATCAGATGATTATGAGCAGCGTTCCGTAAATAAGATTACTGTCTAACGCTCCGGATACCGTTATTGGATTGTTAGAAGGTGGCATTGACAACGCTTCAGTTGGCTGTCATTTTAGGGACGGGTGCATTCTGTTGTATTAGAACGGCTATCGAAGAGCCGATAGTTGTTCCGAGGCTGCACATGCTAACAGACAACAATTCGTTCTTTCGAAATTTTCGAATTTATTTCTCTACAAATCTTGACTACGGAGTAAAAATATTGAGAGAAAGCGATTCGAAATTTAAATATGCTCATCATTTGTAGTGAATTGTTAGTAGTTCAGAAACAACTGTTTATAGAGGTGAGATATAGGTCGTCGTTAAAAAATGGCAATATCACACTGACCATTAACCATTTACTTGATTTGGGTTTTATTCAGAGACAGTGCCAAAGCTTAATTGGCGCGTTTAAGAATAACATGTAACCGAATATGGTTGGTTCCAAATCCTACAGTAGCAAAGCGGTACTTTCAACATAAGCAACAGCTGTTATCTACACTAAATAAAGCACGTGAATTGATATAGATACGATAATAAATGACCACTTAACAATGTGCCTTTGGCTAGCACATCAGGTATATATTATGTTCTCTGATATCATCATACAGTGATGTTCTTCCCATTTGTTTTTGCTCTATGCTTCGACTTTTTCATTAGTGAATGGCTGTTTCGACAGAGACAGGTCTACATGGCAGCAGATCGCAACAACCTTAGTTGTGGGTCCGCTAGTTAATCAGTTGAATTAATTGATTGACAGAAAAGTTTCGAAATACGTTTTTAGCTTCAATTTTCGTCATCTACGTCAAGTGCTAGTTTCATTCCATCATATAAACGATCATATGATGTATTATTGTCTGTTACTTGATTTTGATTTCGAGTATCGTGCCCCAACGTATCCTGGTCCCCACCATGTTTGGCTGCTGATATTCCTGAGAGCCGCCGGATTCCTTGGGGGTCGGGAGTTCCCTCAACCATATCGATCCACTGAGCGTTGAAGTGGCTGAATTTAGCCGCTCGGGCTCTGGCTGCCCAGTCGGACCCAGTTTCAGATAGAAGGTCCAACGCGGCGTCGCATACTAATTGGACGCCCTGTCGATTAAAATGTCATATTAGCATAGAGAACTAAGTGGTATTATTTTGTACCATAAACTAATATGGCCAGCTTTTATTCCTAGTCCTTCTTGTTAATTAAAGTGGTCCCTTTACTGAAATCTTGAAGACTTTAGTATTTCAGAAATAGAGTAGTTTAATTGGAAATAACGTCAGCATTTACGATTATTGAAAAATCAGCAGCAAATAATATCATACAAGCGGCCTTATAGTAATACCTTATTAGCATCGTTTAATAAGTCTAGCAGATAATTAGCTAGGGGCGTTTTTGCAAGGGCAGCTTCGCGTGAAGGCCCATGTCGAAGTAGACAGTAGAAGACCCAAAGAACGTGAAAAACGACGGTATCGTTTTCCTATATTGCAAATTAGGAAATATAAGGCGAATATTAGCGTAGTTAATATCCCTGCAATAATGGTTAGATGATATACATGACTCACAATACTTTTTGCCAGTATTATGCGGTCTTGAATAGCCAATTGAAATCTATTACGCTTCAGACGAAAGGAGTGAAAATAGATACCGTGCAGACGGCTTCAGTTACCTGGCATGCGTTCAGGATCGTTAACAGCGGCTCAGCGTGTTGCCCGTCGACGAAGGCCAGCGCAACTTCAGCATCATTCTCTACATAAGTGGCACAGAGAGTAAGAAGATCGAGCGTTGGATCGTCTTCTGCAGTGAATTTGCCTTCGACAGAAAGCCGAGATGCCGCTTCTCGGAGTTGGTGGTTTAGCCAAGCCAATATACCGCGACGATTTACCTGACGAGAGACCTGACGATGACGACATCCAAATCTGTTATTCCACAAATTTTTACTACTCTTCCCTTTTGAGATCATTTGGAAATATCTTTTTTTTTTTTTTTTTTTTAAGATATAGAATCGTCACTTGCTCAAACGATTAAAATATATAAAATGCTTGCGCAAGATGAAACTTCAGAACATGAAAAGGCAGTGAGAATATGACGGCTAGGGGTCAGATTAGTCTTCATCTGAAGCTCTAAAAATATCTAAAAAACCCTCTTTGCTGTTTCGTACTTCTCGTTAATTAAGAAACTTGCCTTTTCAGGAATTACGATATACCGACCTGAAAGAATTCAGTTTGATCAAGATTGGCTAAGATTCGTGCGCACTCTAACGCCATCGGTGAGCAGAGTGGCGATGTCAGCGGCTCGGTTTGCATAATTAGCCTTTCGGTAAATTTGTCCACGTGCTCCAAAAACAGCTGCTTACTTGGGCCTTCATGCATAGAGATGTTTCGCACCACTGAAATGGTAGCATTGTCAAGATTATTCATACACTGCAAGCTCTGAATGTCTCGATGTACTGGATAAATGAGTTTGTTACTAGCACATAAAAGTACATGCTCCATTATTATTAGTTCCTTATAAAATACCTTTAAGTAGACGAGAGTCGTTGTTCTTCAGAGCTCGCTTAATGAGAAACTTAAGTCCATTGCGTTCGCAGATAATTTGGGCGCAAGATAAATTTGACGCTAAAGCTTGGGCTACAGCAGCCAGTTCAGCCGAACATTGGCCATCAGTTCCCTCGCCTTCCAGAATCAGGCCTAGCACCTGCACGCATTGTCGCTCAGTTAGTTTATTTGCCAAGCATGATATTCTATTTGTTTTCGTTTATTTATATGCACTTATAAGATAAGGAACCAAAACTTCCCTAAGTATTTTCTCTTATTAGTTGTTTCTAAGGCTATCTAGACTAAATTTGATACTTTGCACGCACTAAAAGTGTCAGTCCTGATGATCATGTTCATTCAATATAACCACTGTTCTACAATCGCAGCTTCGATTCTATCAGCCATTTCAAAGTATTCTTTTTCGAATTTGCAAATATAGTGGGGCGCTGAAATGAGCTGCGTAGCAAAAGTTACAGCGGAGTCAAATGCGGGCTAAGAGCGGGCTAAAAGTTTTCGAAATACAAGAACTCGAAACGGTCAAAAAGCTCAAGCGGTAGTTTAATCTAATCTCGAAAAGACTACATCATGGAGTTTATCTGGACGGCGAATAGGCGTTTGAAACTCTGCTCTCCAAAACAGCCGTTAATTTTTATATAAAAATTATAGTTTATTCAAACTATATTTCTAAGCCATTTTATTGAGTTTTTAAGCATTTTAAATCTAAACTATGTCAAGGATCGTTTGATTGTCATAGAAATCTTTCTTATATCTCTCAAAAACCTTATGAAGACTGGCAATAGCGTAGACCAGCGATTTCGGGTAAAAAAACTACGATAGTAAGGTTTTGCCCCGCGCGAACACATTGGGTACTACCTGATCTATGCCTAAATTAAGAAAACAACGTACGGGCTTCCGCAAATGATCAGCCTTTTTGTCGTTCTAGATAGCACTGGCTTTCTTCTAATGCGAAGAACAGCGGCTGAAGGCATATCCGCTATGACGAAGAACCCATCGATGCATGGTCGAATTTAGATGCCCCTCCTTATCTCTACTCAAATGTGGGCTGTATCTTTGATAAATAAAATGCTCTACTTTGTAAATAGTTCGTATAAGCTTGTTGTATAAACTTGCCAACGTTGTTCTATTACTCTCTTTAGCAGAACCATGCAATGAGGATTTCGAATATATGCACAATTTCACAGAAGAAAATAGAGTCTCAGCAGTCAACACATCTTCTATGTATGTCACCGTGACAAGAGCTACTGTATTGCTACTATGTACAATAGAACTATATTGTTTACTAGCATAAATCTTTTACTCACATGTTCTAACAAATGAAGGGGCTGTACACAAAACAGATTTAATATTCAGACAACTGGAACTTGCGTGTCGAAATTAATTAATACGTATATAGTCCCTAAGAAAAGATTACTTTGTAAGAGTTGTACCAGTTGCCCCGCAGCGGGCAGTAATGGCTGTGACACCGCGAGGACCGACTCCGTATACAGTACATTTTTATAGCTATGATATAGATTTAATAAAATTAATTAAAATAAAAAATATTAGTACAATAGTATCGATTGAGCTGAAAATTTGCCATCCGATGTATCATCAAAGACGCCAAGCTTTGTACCACGTGTGCAGCATCCGTGTACGCGAAGTGCGCAATGAATCTACTGTCTGCAGCGATAAGTAACAGTATTCGAAGCACCTAAAAGATGTGCAAAACGGGGCAAATACGGATTCAGAAAATTCGATTTGGTAGCTAGTAGGGTACGGTCGTCGTCATGTACAGTTTAAATTAAAAAGCGTTCAATGTGACATATTTATAACTATCATCCTGTGTGTTCGTTACGAAAACGCTGTATATATACCCGAAAATGCATCTGGGCATATTTTAAATACAATATTCATGGAAGTTTACATTTTCAAAGAGAGCGCATTCCCCATTACCTGGTTTCGTTGAGATGGTTTTTCGGAAGATCCCATATAAGTGACGAGTTTCGGTAGAAGGCCACAACTGACTAGGGCACAACGGCAGTCGGAGTTAAAGCTCAGGTTGTGAATCAGCCGAAGCGTCTGTTCGGTTTTAAGATGTAAAAAAAGAATACGTTGTGAGCGCGTATAGGAAACGGGGGAAGGTAACTTCTATGCGTACCACGCTTCAATGTGGAGTCAGTCCTTCGCGGCAAGGAACATTTTAAAATTGTCTCGTTGTAAATAATATCATGAGCATGTTATCCGCAAATATAACACGTTATTATTTAAAAAAAAAAAAAAAAAAGTAATAAAAAGCTCTGCGTTTGCACTTTGTTTCCTTCTTCAATGAACCTAGTTAAAATATTTCGCTATTCGCTAATTTCTGTTACAGACCATGGATGCGATTTCAGTGTCGTCCGTCGGTATAATTTGGCAGACCTTATCCAATGCCGCAGGCTGGCCTATATCATGTAGGTTCTCCTGGTATATGCTCAATTTGACCAAAAACGTTAAAACAATGAGCAGCAAAGATCGACTCTTTCGGTCTAGGCATGATGTTAGAAGTGGAATAATACCTGTCAGAAGAAACAGTTCACGGAGCAACACAGTAGGGTTGGATTATTTATAACAAGACAATATGGAAAAAATAATTTCCCTTTTTTATCATCATACCATTAAAGGAGTTCAGATCGAGTACCTTTGCATCTAAAAATATTTGTAAATCCACAGACAGTCTTCTTCACTAGCATTTTTTCCTCGGTATACCGGCTATGTAGTAATGTGCTTCCTGTCACTTTGTCATCCTTGCCTACATGTTTGGTTTCGATATGACCTTTGTTCCTTTCCTCGCTAGCTGTCCCTTCTTAATCTTCGTTAACCATAACGTTGTCAAAAATTAGTTCCTACGGTAGCCCTTCTTCACCTGACTTAGATCAGTAACGGCTACCTGGCCTAATTTGCGTAACATGTCGTCACCGTTCAACTAATGTTCGTGTTGATCTGGTTGAAGCCATGTTAAGGTGTTAAAAATATTGTTTCCTTTCTATATAAAGCGGCTTTGAATCTTACTTTTTTTGAATATATTTTCAGGGTTCAAAAAAGATTACTGAATATCATCTCATAATTCATTTTTAAACCTAGATTACTGATCAATACGCCGCCGAACAAATACGTGAACTACTTCCACAAGAAAAGCCAACTAAACTAATACAGATAGTTCAGGCAACCGTTTTACTATCGGTTAATGTATAAGAAAATAACAAGAATAACTGAATGCAACCAGAATAAAAGTATACGGTGCATAAGCTTCGATATTTTTGCTACTAAAAGCTGACCATAACGGGTCTGATTTCCATAGATAACGGTTTGCGCTGAAATGTAGAAAACAACAACATTTAGGCGACATTTGTATGCATTAGCACATATTTGTTAAGATTGCCTTGAGGTTTTTCCATATTCTCTTTTAGATTTTAGATAAACACGAATAACTGAATAAGTAGTACCCCTGTATATATGCTCGTTCCTCTTTATCTAGTTTGACATCTCCTGCACCCAAAAGCTTAGAATATGCTGTTCGTTAGTGTACCGCTGGGTGCTAGTTGAGTATGCATAGAATTAGCTGAAATATACCTACAAGATGATGAAGGTTGTCCGTATTTCTCAAATATGTACCTTTATTGACGATTCGAGTTTCGTTTTTTAGTTCCGTAGAAATATTGAGCAGTAGACTAAACGCGGCAATGAGCATTGTGTCCTGCTTATGCAACACGGCAGTGTAGCTCTTCGTTAGATTCTCAAACGCCTCGAGATCGTTCGACAACTGAGATTCCTCCAATTCGTGCAGCACCTGAAAATGGCGAATAGCGATATTAAATATTGTCAAAAGACAGTTGATTATCGAAGGCGCGTGAAGACATATCGCATACGTCGACGGGCTTGTTTGAAGACTATTCCATAATGCAGTTTTTCAAACAAGCGATTCGTCTCTCTCCTTTTTGTCACTCTTACTTTGCCATAGCAATGTGGACTCTAATTGTATCGAGCGCTGATGATGCAACGGAGATCTAAAAGAATCCAATCTGGTTACCTGTTGCGTTTTGGCCATTTCGCCCTGAAGGAGTTCCATGGTGAGCGAGCCGACCTTGTGGTCGGCAATTACAGACGCAAATGTAGTAAATCTTGAAAGACACTGGAAAAAATTGAGTATATTCGAGGCAAGCGAGTAGTTCCTGTGTCCCTCCTCACGAAGCGTGCGCGCTAAGGCGCCTAAAAGGACTTCATGTTTTATTAACGCTTCCAGGTTCTCCGTATTCTGGGCAAGGTATAAAATCTTTGATGATGCGTCTACCTGCAAAAGTGAAGTCGGACAACTTCGCTGCTATTGCAATCTCATCGTACGTCACGGATAAACAAATAGATGTTAGTTCAATCGAGTCGAGCGTTGAAAAAAATTTGTGAGCTCTGAGAATTTAATTCACATATTTTAGAAATTCGACATTTCAATTGGATTGTTGCTTCTAGGAAGATGTGATGAGATTCAGGACTGCTTCAGCTTTTTTTTTCGCAAACAGTAAAATTGAATTTAAGTTGAAGAGGGCCCAAAAAATGCCCCCTAGCATAAATGTTAGACTAAATCTGCATAATCTGATCAGAACTTGCGCTGAATACGTTAAAGTACTTCATAGGATTATGCATAGTGTTTTCGACGCTGTTACGGTGCTCCGACAGGTCTTAAGATTGCTTGTTTTTGACGAATTAATCTATATAATATGATGGCACAAAAAACAATCGTAGTATAATTTGTGTGTCAGCTCTTAGCTTTCTTTACTCCATTGTCAGCGTTACCATGTTTGCGTTCGTTACCGAGTGAGCTGTGTGTTTTTGAATAGGCAATTGGCTTGCTGCGTTTGCACTTTCGCCTATAAATAACTGAGTTAGAGTTACCTTTCGTTCGTCTTCGTAAAGATTGTCAACGTAGTTGTCAAGCTGGCCCATGCTCACCGATGGCGGTTCTCCATTTTTCGGACTACTGACTGCGCACTTTTCTCGTCGTGTCCTTAAGTAGTGTAAGAGCTGTTCAATTTCACATAAATTTTGAGCTTTTGACAACAATTTTGGATTTTTCTCACATATATCCTCGGCCAGCATAACCATATCAGTGTCCTGAAACACGTCGCGAAATGGGTTTTATCTTTTTTACAACTTTTAATAAAATCATATTTACGTTTGTAATTATTATTAGCACGCCTTGTACAAAATTGATTCCACAGATGCACGAGAGATCAATAGAATTGTGTGCCGTATTATCCAGATGCGCAGTACCCAAAATAGTTGAGCTATAGACCTTAGGACATGACTTGATCTTCTATATTCACAATAACAGGCAGAGCGTTTGTGATAGACGCTCATAATAATAATCAAAATTCAGTCGACACTCATTATAACCATGAATTAAACGTTTCAAAATGAAGTCTACAAACTAAACGTGTTTAAATTTGTCTTATGTGGCACTGGAAGATTCCTGAGGAGCGTATTGGCCTTGGTTTGCCGTTTTAAAAAGGCGACGTTCCTTGATGCTAGACCTCCGCTAGAGAATTTCCTGTTGTTTCGAAAGTATGCCTGTCCTGCTAAATTGAACCAGGACTACGTCGTCTACGTCAATGCCATTTGTGCCAAATGTATTGGGAGCAGGGTGTCAAGCGGTAATCTGCGTCGGAGCACAGGTACGCCGTTTGAGCACGTCAACCTTAGGAACTAACACTTCCCTTTGATCGTACCCGAAAAATTGGTGCTATACAAGCCCATGTGGCCGGCATTGTAGCTAAATAAATCTTCCGAAATTGCTCTCTAAAACGCAAAAAGTGATAGTAGTGAAAATATGTTTTTGACAAAAACATTTTTATGCCATAATCAAAAAGGACGATAAAAGGTTTCCATATAGGACTAACGAGCCTACATTATTTGTGGATACAGTAAGTTCAATGTAGCTAGAAATTAATGACTTAAGTAGTAATGTTAAAGTAGTAGCAAAGTAATGTTAAAAAAATATATTTCTTATTGCATCGACCCACGCTCAAGTCCTTGTCATCAAAGAACAATGTTCAAAAGCGTACCACCGCATACCTTAGTAATTAAGTGATCCAAAATTCGCAGAATAAAATGTTTTTCTAAAAACCACTCTATAAATGCTGCGAAAGCCGTGTACTAACGGTATCAAGGTTCCTAATACGAACGGTCCTTTGAAGAAAGGCAGAGTCTGTAACGATTTCACCTGCCTCCGTAACAGCGCATTCCAGTTCGTAGCTAATAACAATTGCACGTTCGACGGGGTGTACATCTAATTGGACATTGCTTATTCGCCGACGCACCCCACTACGTTGTTGGCCAGCTGGCCCAGACGTAATGCCGAACGACGACATTTTGTCGACACTGTTGTTCCTAATATTCCCTTTGTCACAGGAAATCCTAAAAAAAAAAAAAGGTAGTAAAGCAGACGTAAGTGTTCGATTAGTTTTTGTGAATTATCTTATAATCTTCAATAGATATACAAAGATGATACGCGACGCAATAACTATATTTGGTTCCCTAGAATTTATACCTAATAATATATTTAGTAACGACAAACATTAAAGGAATACATCGAAGCGCTCGTTTTGTATATATCGGACACACTGACTGAGCGCCCCACTGCCGTGGGGTGGTGATCATTTAAAAATGCTTTACTAGCTAGCCAAGTATCTATTCGTCGCTATCGATTCCCTTAACATCTGGAATTGAAACAACAGCGTAAATATTAATCTTGGTAATTACAAATATTGTCAATGGTCAACGAATCTGTTACATGTGTCATGATTACCTACCATCCTTACACAATGTACCATAGAATACTGTGACGAAACTGTACAGGTTTCGTGACTTGGGTACCGTATTCAGAATTTGTTCTGCTTTTCTACCCGTTTCGTCGACGCTGAAAATAATGAACCGCCGTCTGATGGTAGTAATTTTCAAGGGAATCACAAAAATGCCCATCAACAGGACAAAGGTTCCTTGTCAAGTACCTTAGAGCGCTTCGTCTTCACTGTCGAGATGAGCTAGTTTTTATAAGCTGTTTCCTAACGCAGTCAATCGTTGACTTTTCCGATTTACTACGAATATTTGAAGCTAGGCTGTTCCACAATAGACAATTTAATACATTTGAATTTAAATAGCATATCTGAATTAAATGAGTCTTGCAATTTCAATAGCTACTTGTAACGTACAATACGATTGTTATTCTATTACGTGTTTGAGTATTTCACTCAGATATTAATTGGTGGCAAAATCGCAAGGAATCTTCAGCATATGTGTATAAAAAAAAATAGAAAATCAAAAGAGAGCTAATATCTCGATGGGATTTTGTTATTCAACATAAGTAACGGGCATATCTTGGGTCCGTGTACAGCATCGACAGAATTGCACTGTACGAAGCAAGGGAACAACGGACTCAACATTACAAAAAAAATTATTGTTTTTACAAAACGTCTGGGGTCATATGCATACTGCATAAAAACGCGCTTGAAAAAATCCATAACAGGGATAATTATCATAAGTTTTGAATAGGTTACATCATTAGAACGATTATGTCATTCTTTTTTATTGTTTGAGATCTAATACTGCTGCGTTTTGTAAAATTCAGAGGGATACCTTTTTAACTACGTGAATACGATTGGTATGACCAAATGAAAACACAATATAAATAAATTTAATCAAAAGGAAGCGAAGTATACGTTTGTTTTCGCAGTATACGCAAGATGCGCGACGTGTCCAGATAAATAACTTTGTTACAATTGAGTTTAAAGCTTCAAAAACTATAAGTTCGCAACACGATGTGTCACAGCGATATAATAACGCGATTATTTGGACGAATCGTTTTAGCGTGCGTTTCCAGAGCGAAAGATCAGATTGGCTTTAAAAGTCTCTGCACACAGGAATCACATGGAATTGTGTGTGTCTTCGTTATTCTGGATAAATAGTTGGTAAGAAAGAAATTAACACTCATATTAAGTTACCTTTGTTAAGTTAATTTCAAGAGGAATTTTCAGTTTATTCGCGGGATGGATGGATGGATGGATGAGCTCCTGATGGCAAAAAGAGCAATTCAAGGAAGCAAAAATCCATTTTATAAAGGAAATTTAACGGTTATGGTGAACTGCGCCATCATCGTTGTGCGAGCTTGGCACACGAGGCTATGGGCTAAGACGAGAATGTAATAAAATTACGCCAGTTTGCATAGCACTAAAATGAACCACTTCTCCATGTCCTCTAATTAGATCTATTTAAGTTAAATCCTTTAAGCTAGAGGTACAATATATCAAGCTTTTTCTTTGCCCGGACCTCGCTCTTCGTCGCGTTCATTTTCACCAGAATAATCTAATTTAGTTAATCCTATTTCTATATGTTTATAATTTTTTAGCTTTCGGTGACGCTTGACGAACGGATGTACCGAGTGTTCCGTGCTAACGAAATACATTATACACTGAAATAATGTCATATCGTTTTAGCATTCAAGAAAATCTGACTGCGAATGATATGTTCAGTTGTGAGCTCAAACTTCAGTAACACTGTATAGACGTCGCCGTATAATTTCGCTTTGCGTGGATCAATACGAAACAACTATGACGTTTTTCATTGTTTTCGGATTCACAGTGGTTACCAAGGTTAACGAAAATTTTATGGCCATCTATTCAAATTCGCTAAACAGGACCAATTAGATTCCAGGTAATATGATTATTTTGAAGAATACTATCTATATAGTCTTACAGTCAATAGTCGAACAGGGGTACGTGGCCTTCCTCTCAGGTTAAATACATAGTTACTAAACATTATCGATGTCCTTTAAATAATCCTGGTAACAAGGCATGTTGACCGTGTAGCCAGAGTAACATAAAAATTTGCCTAGCAACCATGTAAGTATCGCGTAATACAACTGGGAAAGCATCCGATTTTTGGAAGTTATATGAATGATGGCCAATACCCTCTAAATAATATATTAGGTAAAACGTTTACTATTCGAATTGGAGAAGTCTCCGAAATTGAGAAGGAAACATTGCCGTTCAGCACTGAAATTCTTTATTGTTAGCTTAGCTGTACGTTCTTCAAAGATTTTATTTAAATAACTTAACTCTGGTTAGCTTACGTCGTTTAGAGATCGTCGTTTATAATAGATTTTTTCATTTAACCTAGTTTTCACAGGTGGCACCGACAAATCATAGATAAGCTCGCCTGATAACGAAAGCCAGACATTACTTACGATGAGATTGAAGTTTCTATGAATCTGTTACTAATTCAACTTGATTTTCTCATATTTTCTGAAATAATACGGAATTTCCAATGTAAACCATCCAGTTCACTAAGAGTCGCTTATTATTTGCATTCAAGCTTGTTTCTTTAGAAGCTTCTATAAACTCGTTTCCTTCAGAATTGTCAGTTGCTAACATGAATGAGCTCAGCAGGCGCCATAACGACCTTTCTTTCCTTGTGCAGCCTAAATTAGCTAATAATAAAAATAAAAGTAAAATGTAAATATCTACTTTGTTGTGCTACACATCGTATCAGAATGCATTCAACTTAGCCTATGCCAGCCGATTCAAAGCTCAATGCTTTGATGAAGGTTTTTCGAATTTATGCCATACACCGTTTTTCGAACTATTGCTATCTTATATCTGAATAATAGTTTTGGAAACTTTCTCTTGTTAAATAAACCTTTTTTTCTCACCGTAATACGAGAATTGATATAAACGTAAACGAAGTTTACATCCGGTATAAAACGAACGTTTTTTTTTTTTGGCAAGATTTACTCTAATTAAGGTCCGCAGACAGGAGAGTACATAAAGGCCGTCTCCGTAACGGTGCAGTGCTAACGTGTTTGCTCAGAGGCGTGTCAGGTAGTCTCGAACTGAAACGCTTCGTTTCGCGTTGGAAGTTAACTGGATGAAGCGTTCAAAAAGATACTTCGGTGTACATGATACAGGATCGAATTCTTCCAATGGCCGCCTTCTATACAACTTGTTGTGTACATGCTTTTTACTTTAGCGCAACTAATTATGCACCCTGCCCAAAAATGACTCCGTTAAAAGAATAAGATACTAAAATTAAATCATCGAAATTTTAATTTGTCAATATGTAGCAAAAGTGATAAAATTCACACTGTTTTCTCCCCGCTGCTTTTTAGGTTTCCGTCCTAGGCGTTAGTGTAATGGTATAGTACCTAAATGGAAATATACTTAATGAATTTCGAAAATTAATTAATCAGCCTAATTTAACTGTTGTTAGTTTTGCTACATGCTTGAATGTAAATTAAACTTCTAACCGCTAGTGGATTGATCACAAAGCCTCATTTATTATAGGAGAATATTTTGATATGTTGTGTTTGTTAAATGATGAAAACTATTTAGTGCAACTTAGATAACTTTCGTCGTTCCTAAACGACGACCAATAATTTATTGAGAGAATGTATTATATTAAGAACGACGCTTAAAATACATGTAACCTTTTACTATTCATGTCATATATCAAATAATTAAGTATTTAATCTGTTCTGTTAAGTTAACTGATCAATTAAAAAAAAAAAAATCAATTTGGACTGCTTACCAGCACGAAATGGTGAAAACCGTCAGAAACGACGAAAGTTATTCAAGTGGCTGTAACTCTTTAATTGTCACTTCGATGATTTAAACGACACTGCGCTACATCGGTTCGTATATGGACAAATATCACCCGATATTTGGAGCATGTGACAAACATGGCTATGCATTCGGCCACATGTCTCTTGTTAGAAATGAACCTTTGGCTCGCTGACGCTTTTTTTTTCCTATTCGACCTGATTTTTTATCGCCAACTCTGTATTTCGATAATTCAACCTCCACTCGTTCGTGCCGATTTACTAACTCAGCTGCTTAGATGGCAGCGTGCTTTCGTTGCCACAGTAACGGCGCAGGTGCGAGAGGAGTGGTCTCAGGAGACCTCGTCAGAGGAGTGGGGAGCCAGGATCACCATGCGGGAGATTCAGTCTGCTTTCGGACCAAAGCAAAACTTTGAGCCGAGCTGCGTTGGAAAGGGTCTGCAGGAGGAAAGGGCAGATATCGAAGCTTATTACTGAAGAAGCTTTGCGATCATCGTCCGGAGCTCTGATCAAATAAATACATTAACATAAATATGTTATTGGAACTTTATTGTCTTAATTGAACTTTAAACAATTTTCCACGCACGCTTTCATCCAAATTTTAAACTAAAAAGTACATGCGTTCTGTGGGAACATTATTAGAGAATGCGTATATAACAACCGGCTTTTAATAACCTCATTATTTCTGAAGAGCTGTTCGTTTTCTATATATTACGGTAATAAAACGATATTGAACTGAAGCTAATATACATATGCGAGCTATCTAATCTAGATTGTTTGCATTTGGCGGATCGTAACAAATGTGATCTATTAGCGTTTCCAATCTAAATGGGAACTTTATTTATGCTTGAAATGCAACTTCCCCTCGGAGTCGACCGAAGCTTTATACTTACCGTCGACAATATAGCCCTTCAATTTTCTGTACTTAGATTTATGTTTACACCTAATTTAGCATTAAACCTCCGATTACAGAGAGGAAAAATACGAGTTCTACTATGCACATTAAAGAACGTATAGAAATTTGCACTTGTGCCCGCTTTACGCCTCAAGCGGTTCGCTACGATTTATAGCTCAAAGACAGGGAAAAATATTCGTGTCGCTAAAATTTTACGTAACTTTCTAAAGCAATGCTTAAAACTGAAACCGTTGTTTCTGTATATGATGTAGTTGTGCGATAAGTTACACTTGTGGTTCATTCCCATTTCTAAGGGCAGGTATCATAATGCCTTTCCATATTTTATTTGTAAACATTTTTTAAGTTATGAAAAATAGTTCTCGCTAATTAAATATGCGTTCAAATACAGAAAATGATTGTATGGCTGGAATTAGTTCGTTATTATGCAATGCTTTTTAAGTGGTAAAATTTTTGTTAACAATTCTACCTTATAGTAAGGTTATGTACGTGTCTCTCTGTTTTTTTTTAAAAACTACAGAAGAAAATGTATGTATGTATGAATCACTATCAACTTTCGTAAAGTTATAGAATGTGCGAGCCACGACAGGTTGTTGTTGCTTAGCACAGTACTCTTCTTGCTATTTTGCTTGAAGCGATTATATGGCAAAGACACGGCGCCTATGACCTAATGACCTTATGATCTAATATCAAACCTTTAGACGAATCTCTACCGCTGGGCTTATTAGTTAGAATAGCCTATTAAGTCCTAAATCCGTCTACGATCCCTTCTACGAGCATAAAAAGAACGCATTGAACCATGCATAACTACTGAACGGGCGAATTCTCCTGGCAACCGTGCTTCAACGGCATTGTACTGCGAATATCGAAAAGATCTGCCCAATCTAGAGAAAAATCACATACCGAAACCTCTGAAGACTTAATTTTGTATGAAATGTCCCGATGAACGAGACTAAAAGCGTGATTTACGTATGAGTCATGTTCCTCGGAAAAAGTGCGGATAAGGGATAATGTAGGACAACTAGCATTGATCCCAACATTATTGAGAAATTCCTTAGTGTATTGATACTTGACCTGAAACATTTTTTAATTGACAATTTATGTTTTTCACCCCCCACAGTCGTACCGTATCGAACTCACACAAATAATGCTGATATACTGTTGTTTTTGCAATGACATAAGTAACAGACTTGACTAATTGCCCCCTTGTGGCTACTGTTAAGAAGATACAGCTTTGATTTGCTAATTTTCGAATCTAAGATCAAGTTCATTGAATATGAAAAGTTAACCGGTAGTATAATCTCTAAATTCAAGTAAACCAAAGATTACATGGAATTAATAATAATCTAAGGATAATATTAGTTAAAGCAGTTCAGAAAGAAATACGTTTATTATATTTAAATAATCATGATATAGCTTGAAAAACTTTCGACAATAACGAGCGTCTATCCCTACCGCAGTGAATAGTTAGGAATATTTTTTATTTAAAAATTACGGAACTAACAAGGCCAAAGCATTCCTGTTATGTTGTGGCATGTACGAGCTTATTAGTTGCTATCTGCATGAAGGATTTGACCGGAAAACAGGTCTCCGTTGTTACTTACGTTAGCCGAATGATGCATTCTCCTTTTTAAAAAAGCCTTTTTTTTTACATACTGCATATAGAAACTACAGGGAAAGACAATTTTCGATTTCACTTTTTTAACCTCTACGATGCAGCGTTCAGGATGTTGGTTTGGTAAATCAAATTGCCTGCCATTTTCATCGATCGCGAGTTATTTGTATCTAGTTCCGCAAATGATGAACTTTGTTTAGCAATATTTAGTGCTCTGCCAGAAATATCTACATCATCCAATACCTTACGAAAACAGTGTTCTTTTTTCTAGTTATTGTACTGATTATTTGAAATCGTTTAGAATGTTATGTTTTTTTTTGGACGAGCTAAAAACTCTTGGAAACTGCTACTGGTTCGCTACATGGATGAGTATTGCTTAGAATAATAATTAGGACGCATACCTTCATCAGAAATATCGTATCAGAACCTTGGCTTCGGCGATGATAAATTTCTTAAGTTCTACTTAAAATAACCCCACTTATCATGGTTGACATCAAATACAACGTTCACGTAAAACACCGGGTGTACAAGTTATGTACTAATGCAAATAATGATTCTGAGCGTATACATCTACGTTTTTCTTACCCACTTTATACGATTAAGAGATTTAGCCGATCTTTCGGTACAGATCTCCAGTGAATTTGTTCCTGGGTAAGGTATTAGTTTGGAGGATTTCACATTTCACATACCACAGCGGGTCGAGGGGAGGGTAAAGGGACGATCCACATACTCGTGTCTGAAAGCTTAACGAAAGGGTTTAGACGTTCGTCAGCTCGGCAGCTGAAGCAGTCTGAGGAGTCTTTCGCTATCTAAAACTGTGCTAAAAAAGTACTACAAGCGTTGACGTCAGTTTTAGTTCTACTCGGAGACACGAATGGTACAACGGGCATTGGCTATTGAACGTTTGAGCTGATACAAAATGATCTAAAACAGTCTGTTGAGATACGTTTTCTGAGATGATTTTTCTAGAACTAGCCAGCTTCCTTGCACTCCGTAATTTACATTACAAGATCTAGAAAGTCCTCTGTAACGTGTAACGTAAAGCTTTTTAAAAATCACAAATTGCTTCATCTAATATATTTAAAAACTCTGAATATTTTCCATAGTTTATTGATTTGTGTGGAATCGAAAATTATTCTCCCTTGAGAAACATCAAAGCTTATGGCTAAGTTCACACGAATATGTTAAATTATCATTTTCGCTCTATGGGTTGAAGAACACGTATTGGAAGTTGTTGAAATTCAAGGTAACGATGCACAAAAATATAAAGGCAAGTGTTTTAGTTTAGAAGTCTAAGAAAAAGAAATATGCAAAAAATACAACCTATGTGTTATTTCGTTGCTCGGACTATCAATGTTTATTGCGAGCGAAAAATTAATGACATGGGGAAATACAATATAACAGCTAGGGGTTTACACGACGACAGCTAAAAACCTAATGTTTTTTGTCAATTCGCCCGCATTGTTTGTGGAGGAGCGTTTCGCATAGTGCAGGCCATGCCGAAGCAGTGTATGTCCTGAATCCGACGAATATTTGGCTACTTTTCCAGTATCAACATATTGGTTAGAAAACTAAACATTAGTGAGCCGTGTTTATGTTTGTTCGATTTTAATTGATAGTAGAGCCCTCACAGATTGGACCTTATTCATTCAATAGCAGAATGTTGCGTCTCTAAGGCTGGTGAATAACCTGAGGCAAAGATTGCCAATTTGGTAAAGCCGTTTTTAGGATTTAAGACAATGTGTATGGAGGACCGATCATTACGCTTTTAATAACTTTACTGAAGTAACGTTTACTTCCCATTTTTAATGTTTTGTGCACTATTTATTTTTCGCCTGTCTGTGTTTATTGGTCAGGGGTGTTGCATATTTGTTCGTTACATATGTTTACAACGAGTCAGTAGCGTTATGTTTACAGGGAGACGATCCATTTATCTATAATCATTTTCTGCCTTACATATCGCCTGCAGGCCTTCTGTAGATTGAATAGACACGGGTTTCATTGGATTTCCCTTCAAGTCGTCGAGGCGTTATGTGGGTATCTTATCGTTTGCATACGCGTGGCATGTTGCTACATCTCTTCGAAGGTCTACACCAATCCCTAATCCTATAAGTAAAAAAAAAACGACAGCTATAGTGAGCACTTCCTTATTGTACTAAGACAATGCTGTTATAGTGATAAAATGGTAGAACAAATGATTCGCTTGTGAGTGCTTTTAAGTCCACCTTTTCTTTCAATTATAATCACTTTAGAAACAGAACTTATCGAACATAATAAATAAAACGTACATATAAAGTAACTCAAGATTTTGATATTTAACTGCCATTCAGCTAAATCTTTTCTGATTACGCCTTTTCCACTTACCGACTGAGACACTTAATTTAATTTTAGTTATATTTAGAGTTATATGGAATGTTTGTAAATAATGGATAATATTTGCTGAAGACCCGGTTCGATACCTTTAACTCTAAACTAGAATTAAACATGCCGTCAAAGTGGCGCAGGCCATCATCAACAATAGGACGATACGATAGTAATTTTTGAAAAGTCGTTTACGGTAGAAGAACGTACAAGTGCTTTGAAACAGTATATTGAATCTGGTAGTGACAGTACTTCGCTAATATAGAATCGGAGCTGTTCCAGATGTTATTAGCTGATAGTCTGATACGCTATATCGTGAAGCCTGCCACAATTTCAAGTACATACTGCCTTGTCACTCTTATGGCCTCCTCCTTATATAATTTTAACTTTCTTAAATTGTTTTTTAAATTTTTTTAATTTAAAAATATAATAAATTTAAAAAACACACACACAATTTGTCAAGTTCAGATTGTGTTCTCGGTGAACTCTATAACACCTGATACTATTTCCTAATCTCGCTTCACATAAACCGTATGTATGCACTTTAGCCATTACTTTAGCATATCCTCGT